GAATGTCTTCGTTCTTAAAAATAACTGAAATGAACCCGTTCACACGAGGACGAAAACCAATAGTAGAAGACTTAGTTGATAAAGACTTTGTTGTGATCATGAACGACAGATATTTTGGAATTAATTTTTCAGTTAGGATATTTCGTAATGGATTTAGTGAACAATAACATGAACAACTATCCTCAAGAGCATTGTTTAGGGGAAGCGGCTAGACTTTGCTTGGAGCTGGTCTAGAATGGAGAAGTAAGACACCTCCTTCCCTCCGTTTGTCTGGGAGTTCACCTTGGGCAAGTGATAGCACTCCCTTGCCTCCCTAACTGGGGTAACAGTTTGTTAAACAAAACAAAGATGATATCTTGAATACATCTGCAAGAAACAAGTCCTAAAAAACTCTGACCAATGCCAGTTGTATGATGGTGTTGTTTAAGATGTTCATTATGATAGTTACAGTCATGTTGGTGGTGATAATTCTCATGTATGATGGTGGTGATGGTGCTGGTCTCTACGATGGTGCTGATGGTAATTGCGCTGTTTATGGAAAATAATGGTAGAAATTGTAGTAACTATATTAGCTGTATTTTGCTTTTCAAGTTTGATGCTGATAAAAAAGAAAGATAACGGAACTCAGTAACGTCATGCAATAGAACGATAATTGGGGGGTGGGTGAATATTCATATATTCAGTTTTGCCCGAAGGATTTCTTTTGTAAGTGCAATGAATAGCTTAAAATAGAAATCCGTCGGGTAGAACTGAATATGTGAATAAACACTACCTCAATTATCGTTCTAGTTACGCTCCTAATGGAACTACAATAACTATGTACATTACGAGGAACGTTCGTTTTTGAGCTGGGAAGGAAGATATTTATAGTCTGAAGCGGGGCTGGAAAATTGTAAAAATTTGACTGAATTTGAATAATATTCAATTCAAGACATCTGATGTTCATGAAAAAGAAGGTCACGAAACAACAGAACAATTAATACCTCAGGCGTGTTTCAAACGTCGTGTTTCGGTTTTTATTGCGTTCGTCACTTGAAAGAAGAATGACGTTTGAAACAGGTCTTAACTCACCCAGAAGAAGATTTTTAAGAAATTTATAGGACCTGATTATTCCTAGAAAAGATTTTGTAGTATTTTTTATAAAAGATAATGCGAAACTTTATAATTCCCAAGCGCTAAGTTCCATTAAATCCCGTTCTTCACTTGCAGAATTTATTCGCGCGAACTGATAAAGAATTAGGAAGCGATCCTACATTTTCACGGGAAATTTCTTCGCGGACCAATCACATCACAGGTTTTTAGATTCCTGTTCGCGTCGCGCGAATAAATTCCCCGAGTGGAGACCCAGCTGATGTGAATATTTTCGATGAGAATAAAATATCTGTATAAGGAATACGAATGGGAGAGCTTTGTTTGTTAACTAATAAAACGTGGTGTCTTTAATAAACGAACACGCAACTATATTGATCTGTAAGCAAACTAATATCAAGTGTTGAAATAGGATATTATGACTTAGAAAATGCCTGGTACACAGAAGTACATATCTGCTTGATATTTAATCATAGGCTATTGCCAGCATTTATTGTAATTTTTATAGATTTGTAATCATTTGTAAATCGTTAACCATCTTATTACATATTTCACTCAGTTGTTGAAGTTTCTAATTTTCTATATCTGTTGTTGTTAAAGTTCTTATATAACGCGCAGTCAATGAGTGTAAAAGTTGTCTGGGGCCTTGGCGAAATATTACCTTGGAGGTAATTACACCAAGTACGAGGGATGCCAGATTGGCTGAATAATTTAGCTGAATCATATTTACCCCAGTGAACTCTAATAAGACTGGAACGATAACTCAAAAATAAAGACTAGTCATTGGATGAAGCCGATTTGAATATAATTTGCTGACTAGAAATACATGCATGCAGCAACCGCTCGGCTCGGTTAAACGAAATTAGTTAATGATTGTTAGAAATTTTATGTGGTCTGGGGGTTTTGGAGGGTACATGGTATCTGATGGTATGTGAGAAATAGAAATCGAGAAAAGTATGGAAATATTTTTCTCCACGTGGAAACACTGTGGTCATAGCAACTCGCAACGGCCGTATATTTTTAAGAGGAGATTTTTTATTATGTCGCGTATTTTGGCGGGAAAACCTAAAATCTTTTCGGCGTACCACTCAAAATCCATTTATTTTACCATTTTTCTTTAGATTATGTTGTGAACTAAGTTTTGAACTGTATTTGGTGAATGCAAAACACCAAACAAAGGAGTTATTACAAAATATAATGCGGCGGCTATCAACAATAGGGAGCTTTAGCAGTGACTACGAGTACGACTACGAGTACGAGATTCGTCATTCTCGCGCGTTGTTTGCTAACGCCGTCAGCCAAAACTCGTAGTCGTTGGGCTTTCGAGTACGAAGTTTATCAAAAAACTCGTACTCAAATGCCCGGCGACTACGAGTTTTGACTGATGGCGTAAGCAAACAACGCGCGAGAATGACGAATCTCGTACTCGTAGTCGTACTCGTAGTCACTGCTAAAGCTCGCTAATGTTATAATGTCAACGCCATTATAACTGAAATGAATACAAAAGAATCTTCGATTCAAGTGTCAGTTTCTTCTCGGCGTATCCCGAGAAATCTTTTCATTTTCACAATATTTTGAGATTATACAGTTCTAGTATGACTGTTAGACTGATATTTAAATGTGGTATCACGTTTGCTTGTTACGGTTACTCGCGTCATGTTGACGTGAGCTTGTGGTCTGAGTTGTTGGTCTTTTGGTTTTGACGATACCTTGTTGTAAAGCATTTTACTAAGCATTTATTCAAATAAATCCTATTCTACACAGTAAACATACTTTGTGGATGCTTTTCAGGTTTGCAAAACATTTTTAATGCTGAAAATTTCAGTGCTGTTGCATGAAGATATAACTGAGGTTTTGAGCATATATTACGCGACATAGAAAAATATCTCCTCTTAAAGAATTAAAGTTTTCCCTCATATTTTTGTGAAAAAATGGCAAAAATACGACAAGATTCTTACCTTTTTCTGGAAGTTAAGTTACTCATCTATAGTCAGGTTATGGTAAATTCTTTAATTATTAAATGCCATGAAATATAACATCAGACGTCTCATACAACGCTTCGACTGGTTTTTGTACGGGAATGTTTTGATTTTGTTTTCTTTTTGTCATTATGAAAATGGAGTTTGTAACTGAAATTATAATGTCGTTTATCACATAACACACTCAGATTTATAGTGAAATACATTTGAGAATATTAAAGTTGTGTTTGCCACAAAAGAATTACTTTTTAAAGCTGTGCCGGATGAAATATTATCAAGTGTAAAATATTCCGAGTTCATTATACACGGTGAATTCGGTCCAAAATTTGGTCTTATTACTCGGGCTACGGTAGGTAGACCAAGTTGTAAAATGGGCTCGGTTTTTTCTTTTGCGTCGGGAGTTTACAAAAATCACGCGTGGGCGGCACGAAGTCTTCGAACCAATCGAAATCGTCCTAGGATTGTTTCTCGCGCGGGTGTCACGAACATGCCATGTTACTACGATAACTGTAGTCTGTAGCCCGAGTGATCGCCTGAGTAGGCGTCTTGTTATTTGTTAAATCGTGAAAAGTCCTGACCTCATTCGAGTTTCCTCTATATAAAATACATATATTCCATATAATATAAAAATATAAATTTGTAAATTTCATCAAAATTTTGCAAAATGACAGTTATTCATTGACGTTTGAAAATACAAATTTTTGTCTCGACCAATCAAGAGCTTAGTAGTTCACACGGTCATAGAGATTATAAATAACACTCGAGGCATAGAGATTATAAATAACACTAGAGGAGGCATTGGTATCAAAAACATCAGTCGAAAAAGGGAGCGCGATAATGGGGGGCAAATTCAAGTCCTGGATGCTAAGCCAAGCGCTGATTGGCTAGATCAATGCCTCCTTAGCAACCACGTTAGCAACAACTAAAATGTGTATTAAAGAAGATTATATTCGTTTTTTAGGTAACTTTGCCGGTTTTTTAAGGAAAAATACAGTTTTTTAAACTGGTTTTACTACCTTAGACATCCTGAAATGATATTTTAGGGAAAAAACATTTAGAAATAGAAAAAACTCGTTTAAAACGACATATTTTGGCCTTGGACATCGTGAATGAGTGAACATCCGGGACTTAACACCGCGGAAAAACGTCTGCGCACGCGTCAACTCTGCCTGTAAGTGAGATTAAAAAGAATTAAAAAGCGGTTCCGAAGGTTTCCGAAGGCTAAAAATGGCGGCAAAATAGAGTGATTTCATTCGTGTCTTCAAATCCATATTTCGAGGGCATAAATAAACACTGCATTATAGAAACTAAGAGAAAAAACGTCCAGAGAGTCCTAGAAGTGGCATCCTACAAAAACACTTGTAAAAGGTGACTATTAACAAATTAAATCAGCGTGGTTATCCATTTCAAAATATTTGACATCATAACCAAAGGATGATTATATTGCTTAATGTTTGTATATGTGCGCCAAACATGCTGAAAACTTTACATTGGACAAGCATTTGATCTTTAAAACAGCGTGCTTATCCATTTCAATTATATGAAATCATAACCAAAGCATGGTTATATTGATTAATGTTTGTTATGAACGCCAAAAATGCTGGAAACTTTACATAGGACAAGCACTCTCTCCTCCGCAGAGGCTGTTAGATACCAGAATTATTAAAAATAATACATGTGCAGGCGTATTACCTGGAAATGTGTAGGCGCGCAGGCTTCGCGCGGGGTATCAAGGGAAGGGGGGAAAAAATGAAGCCTCTGCCAGATTTTGTTTTCAATATGGCGCCAAAATTCCGTGAGGGAGTGGGGCAAACTCAGAATCATCTCCTAATTTAATAGTCAAAATGGAGCCGGAAGGATTAATTTCTGATATTTGCATATCAAATAGACCATTTCAAAACGCCCACCAACATTCCAAAACTATCTGTTTATTGTGCTACGAAGGTCATGGCGTTGAGGCTGGTACTGTGAATTTCTTTCTTGCCGAGAGTGGGATTATACAGCATTTTCGAAGCATGCACCGTAGCATTGCTGTTGACGATGAAATGCAGAGGAAGTGCAAGGAACTTTTCGAACAACTGCATGGGCAAGAGACTGCCAAGGTTGTAGAGCAATTATCTGCCCTTCGTTTACAGCAGCAGAAGGTTAGTTCTATGTATGCTATTACTTATAAAGATAAAATTTACTTCATGAATTCCAATATATTATTGAACACTATTTAAGTTTTAATATAAAGATGTTAACTTTATGAAATTATCATTTAATTTAATAAGTTTTACATGACACTGAAAATATTCAATTTATTTTATTTATGTCTAGGATAACAGTGCATCCCATTGTTATTCTATGTTTACTGTAACATATGAGACCAATCAGACAGTGTCAAGCGAAGCATCGATGGATATTGTGGCAAGAAATGAACGAGAAGCGACAAAATTATATGGCTTGGTACTAAAAGATCAAGGGATCCTAAAGCCTCTGGGATGTGTGCCTTGTATAATCACTGTGAAACCATACAAATGCGACAAACGAGGACAGTCGTATAAAGTCTGGGGCAATGATGATAAAATATATGTTGAATGTTTCATACCTGGCAATAAGGTGAGTATGTAAATAATAAATGAATAATAAAGTATGGGCACATTTGGGCCCAAAGGTTTAACCATACCACCTGCCAATGACATTGTAAACTTGCATATTATCTACTTCGATCATTATGCTGCAGTTTGCAAATTTACTGTCACACCAGGTCAGATGATAAAAGATCCTGGCACCTTAACAGGTTATAATCATGAAGTGGCAAGACTCTCCCTTTGACAAGCAATTGAAATGGGCAGATTAATTTGTTAAAGAGGTTATAACCTACCTGGCATTATAGCAATGTAAAACAACAAACAATGATGCTTCAGTTGATTAATAAGTACACCAGTTAATAATTTTACACCTGTCGATTAATGTAAATCGATATATTTTATGTAGATGAATTTACTCAACAGTGACAGAACTCAACCACTCCAGCAACCACAACCAGTTATGGCAAATTCAGTTGGAAAGTTTAGTCTTTTTAAAACCCCACTGGAAGTTTTGAGATCTGTTTTTGGATATGAAGACTTTCGGCCCAAACAACTTGAATCGATTGAACACATTGTCTCGGGAGAGGATGTTATTGTTGTTATGCCAACTGGAGGTGGGAAAACAGTCATTTATGCAATACCAAGTCTGATTTTGCCAGGTATTATCATTAACACTTTCTTAATATGCTGAATTTCACTAACCATGTTGAAGACTTTGTGTCAGTTGTAAGTAAAATATCTATTGCTGCAGCATGTTAATGTACAATTTATTAACTTGTTCTTTTAATTTTTAACAGGATGTAACTAAAAAGTAAATGCTTTGAAATTAGCATTTTTTCAAACAACAACCCATTGTACCCTATCTGGATTAATTGTTCACAGTGTGGAACACACTATATACTGTTCAGGGTGTACCAATAAAGTTAGGCTGTTTGAAAGAGTTAACTATGGTATTCAATTTCAAATGGTTTCCTTTCTTTGGGACACCCTCACCCTGTACATTTCTAACATATTGTATAAGTTGTATGAGTTAGGTTATAAAGACTACTTCCAGAGAGAGTGTTTAATAGAGAACCAGAACATACAATAAAGTACAAAAACTCAACAAGCTTTGCTAGTAAATGTAAAAAGGTTTAATCTATCTTTACTTGAAATATTCTTTTTTACTACTACTACTTCTAGGTATGGCTGTGGTTATATGTCCTTTAATGATGCTAATGTGTGACCAGGTGGCCAGACTACGACGTCTTGGTATTAATGCCTGTTACTATAATACAATGCTAAGTGACAATGAACGACAAAACATTATTCACAACCTTGTGCAACCAGATTGTCAATATCAGTTTGTGTTTATAAGTCCAGAAGCTGCCACAAGTTCTCAGTTTCAAAGCTGTTTACACAACTTATCTCAAAAGAAAAAAATTAACCTATTTATAATTGATGAAGCACATTGTGTGGACACATGGGGGTGCAACTTTCGCCCAGCTTATCAGCAGTTGGGTATCCTGAAGAATTATGGTGTACCAATTGTTGCTCTCACTGCAACAGCAACAAATAAAACATTAGTGACAATTGCTGAAGTACTACGTATGCCAAAGCACACTGTTGTGAAAATGAGTTGTAGACGAAATAATTTATCATTTTCTGTCATTCCAAAGAAAGAAACTAAAGCAAAGAATCAAGTGTGTGAATTGATCTTGGGGGAATTTAACAATTCATGTGGTATAATTTATTGTGCAAGACAAGCTGATGCTGTTGAAATGGCTTTTGAACTGAAGAGTCATGGTATTTCTGCTACATTTTACCATGCAGGAATGGACAGCAGAGATCGAATGGCAAATGCTACCTTGTGGCTAGAAGATAAAGTGCATGTGATTTGTTGCACTAATGCATTTGGGATGGGTATAGATAAAAAAGGTGTTCGATTTGAATATACTCTTGAAAATACTACTGAATATACTCTTTAAATAGGCCCTTAAATTTAACACCAAAAATTGTCAAACTATTTATCAGCTTACCATCTGGAGTCACAGAATCCTCATGCTGATCAGAGTCGTAGGTATGAAAGAGCTTTTTTCTCAGAGGCTGATTTAACAACTTGGAATTTGGTGTCAGTTGTCGTTTATCAGGTCTTATTGACTTCTGCGGTGTACTAGCCTTCGGAATTGGACATTCTGGATCTTCTATAGATGTTCATTTGTTGAATTAAAGGATATATTAATTATTATAAAATAAAGCTAGTACATATAGAATAAAAGTATAGAATAAATATAGAATAAAAGTATAAAAATTTGTCACACTAACCTTCCAAACTTAGGTCGTGTATCAACGATTCTACGCCATCTATATCACTATCATCACTAAGTTCGTCTTGCCTTTCAGCCATCAAAATAATGTTAAAATACCATCACTCCAAGAACCCGCATATCGCTCCAAGAAACCGCACCAAATCTGGCAGAGGCTCATTTCATTTTTTCCCCCCTTCCCTTGATACCCCGCGCGCCTACCTAAAGCCCGCGCGCCTACACATTTCCAGGTAATACGCCTGCACATGTATTATTTTTAATAATTCTGGTATCTAACAGCCTCTGCGGAGGAGAGAGGGACAAGCATTTGACCATTGAAACAGCGTGGTTATCCATTTCAAAATATTTTACATCATAACCAAACCATGGTTATATTGTTTATTGTTTGTATATGAGCGCCAAACATGCTGGAAACTTTACATGGGACAAGCATTTGACCATTAAAACAGCGTGGTTATCCATTTCAAAATATTTGACATCATAACCAAAGCATGGTTATATATATTGTTTAATGTTTGTTATGAGCGCCAAACATGCTGGAAACTTTACATTGGACTAGCATTTGACCGTTAAAACGGCGTGGTTATCCATTTCAAAATATTTGACATCATAACCAAAGCATGGTTATATTGTTTAATGTTTTTTATGAGCGCCAAACATGCTGGAAACTTTACATAGGACAAGCATTGACCGTTAAAACATTGTGGTTATCCATTTCAAAAAATTTGACATCATAACCAAAGCATGGTTATATTGTTTAATGTTTGTTATGAACGCCAAACATGCTGGAAACTTTACATAGGACAAGCATTTTGACCATTGAAACAGCGTGGTTATCCATCTAAAAAAATTCGACATCATAACCAAAGCATGGTTGTATTGTTTAATGTTTGTATATGAGCGCCAAACATGCTGGAAACTTTACATTGGACTAGAATTTGACCGTTAAAACATCGTGGTTATCCATTTCAAAATATTTGACATCATAACCAAAGCATGGTTATATTGTTTAATGCATGTTTGTATATGAGCGCCAAACATGCTGGAAACTTTACATTGGACAAGTATTTGACCGTTAAAACAGCGTGGTTATCCATTTCAAAATATTTGACATCATAACCAAAGCATGATTTTATTGTTTAATGTTTGTTATGAACGCCAGACATGGTGGAAACTTTACATGGGACAAGCATTTGGCCATTGAAACAGCGTGGTTATATCCATTTCAAAAAATTTGACATGATAGCCAAACCATGGTTATATTGTTTAATGTTTGTTATGAACGCTAAACATGCTGGAAACTTTACATGGGACAAGCATTTGACCATTAAAACAGCGCGGTTATCGATTTCAAAAAATTTGACATCATAACAAAAGGATGGTTATATTATTTAATATTTGTTATGAACTCCAAACATGCTGGAAACTTTACATGGGACAAGCATTTGACAAATAAAACAGCGTGGTTATCCATTTCAAAAAATTTGACATCATAACCAAAGCATTGTTATATTGTTTAATGTTTGTTAGGAACGCTAAACATGCTGGAAACTTTACATGGGACAAGCATTTGACCATTAAAACAGCGTGGTTATCCATTTCAAAATATTTGACATCATAACCAAAGCATGCATGGTTATATTGTTTAATGTTTGTATATGAGCGCCAAACATGCTGGAACTTCACATAGGACAAGCATTTGACCATTAAAACAGCGTGGTTATCCATTTGAAAATATTTGACATCATAACCAAAGGATGGTTATATTGTTTAATGTTAATTATGAACGCAAAACATGCTTGAAACTTTATATCGGAGAAGCATTTGACCATTAAAACAGCGTGGTAATCGATGTCAAAATATTTGACATCATTAATAAAGCATGGTTATATTATTTAATGTTTGTATATGAGCGTCAAACATGCTGGAAACTTTACATTCGACAAGCATTTGACCATTAAAACAGCATGGTTATCCATTTCAAAATATTTGACATCATAACTAGAGCGTGGTTATATTGTTTAATGTTTGTTATGAGCGCTAAACATGCTGGAAACTTTACATACTATCTTAGTATTATTTTCCAATGCTTAATTTGAGAGGCATTTGCGGCGATTTCAGAGACCTATATTTCAAAATTTTCCCGGACTTTCGTACCAGGCGCGCGGTTCCGAGCCCCAGCAATACGAAAAACGCTCTGCGGTATCTGGAATAGATATATCTAAATGTATATATATATATATATATATATATATATATATATATATATATATATATATATATATATATATATATATATATATATATATATATATATATTTATATTTATATAAAATGTATATATATATAGCCGAGAAATTCGAAGGTAAATTTTATGCAATTCAGGCGAAATCTTTATCGGCAGTTACAAAACTGCAGCAAAATTTTTTGACTCATAACTCATTGACTGAGTAGACTCATATGTTTGTGGTCGTTGACGAAGTAACAAAGCACTTTACTCTCCAGTGATCACTGACAATAGTCATCGCCGACCGTCGGTGACATATGAGAATCAGGCTTTTTGAAACAACGATTGTTAGTGAATGATTATTAATTTGATAGATTTGGTATATTTATTCAGGACACTGTTGTCTTTCATTAATTAACTTCAAAATTCGATCTGGTCGGATAGTAATCCGGTATCTTGCAAACGGGGCTTCAAGTGTTTTTCATACGCAGGTACACCCACGGAAGAATGCTTTTACATTATTATTATACTTCAAAATACTCGGCTCAATTTAACAATGCAATATCTCTTTATTCACTCCAAAATACAGTGTTTAAAAGTAAACTATTAACATAACATCAAGTAACTAAATGTCTAACATAACACCGCTAGCTGAACCTTGGGCTTTGTCTTTTTCATTCACTCCTGAATTTAATCACTTTATTACCAGAAAGTAAAGGTAACAGGTGGCTGAACAGAGCATGGCCCCAATTGACATCAGCTACCGGTAATAACTATATATACATGGTAATATGATACTAACTATACATATATAATTTTATAAAAAATATAAAAGTATTTAGAATAGTTTAATATAACAGTTCTACAGGTAATTTTTTTAATTTAGATAAATAGGTATTCCTTACAGCAGTTTTGAAATGTCCAAGATTTCTTATGCATTTCACTTCAGGGGGCAAATCGTTCCATATCCGTATTGTTCTTGGAAAGAACGAGTTTCCAAAATAATTGGTCTTGTATCTGAACTCTTTAAGGTGGTCATGGCCAGGTTCTCTTAAGTTATAACGAGATACTGGTTTCGGTTTAACGTAATCATCAATATTATTAAGGCTGTACAAGTTATTTTTACATTTAAAAATAAATACTAGATCCTTGATTTCCCGGCGGTACTTAAGGGGAAGAAGACCGAGCAACAGTAATCTGTTTTTATAATTTGTGTCCTTGGGGTAGTTCAGAATAAATTTTGTAGCTCGGCGCTGGACATTCTCAATTTGTGTTATATACTTCAATTCATAGGGGGACCATAGTTCACTCCCGTACTCTAATAGAGGTCGAACAATGGCACAATAGAGTAGTTTTCTGGTATTCGTCTCCTTTAAGTCAGCGCATGTTCTTTTAACAAGTCCAAGCCTCTTGTTTGCCTTTGATGATATTTCGGAGATCTGAGTTGACCATTTTAGATCACTCGTTGCCTTTACTCCCAAGTCACAAATACTGCATGGTGACACGCTCCGACTGATTATTGTTTAAATTATAATCGACAAGTAGTTTCGGAGATTTTTTTCTTGTTATTCTCATTGTCTTACATTTAACAACATTAAAATCCATATACCATTCCGAACTCCAATAATACAATCTGTTTAGATTGGTTTGGAGCATTATGTTGTCTACAGAACTTTTTACCGTTTGAGATACCTTCGAATCATCCGCAAAGAGGGCAATTTCTGTCGGGTTCGATATACAGTCAGGGAGATCGTTGATGAATAATATGAACAACAGGGGACCTAATATAGACCCCTGTGGTACACCTGATGTTACGTTGAGTGCATCAGAACAAATACCGTCAATGACAACCCTTTGTGATCTTGAAGTTAAATAATCAGTTAACCAATCGTG